CACAACTTACAGCATCGCATTCTTTGCCATTTTATGAACCTTTACAGACTAATTTATAACTCGAAAAGTTATTCTACGCGTAGACAAAAGAATGTACTTTAATTTAATATAAAAATCATTAAAATCCATTTGCTAAAAGTTTAAAAAATATGTACCGAAACTTTTCAAAGAAATTGTAAAGATGCACAATTTACAGCATTGCATTCTCTGACATTTTCTGCACTTTACATTAGATTTTCATAACTCTACAAAGTATTCTACGTGTAGAAAAAAGAGTGTACTTTAATGTAATATAAGATTCCTTAAAATTAACTCACTTTTAGTATAAAAAATATTTGCCGAAACTTTTCAAAGAAATGGCAAAGTTGTACAATTTACAGCAATGCATTCTCTGACATTTTATGAACCTTTGCAGATTGGTTTATTGCTTGTAAAGGTATTTTACGTATAGACAAAAGAGTGTACTTTAATTCAATATAAGATTCCTTAAAATTAACTCACTTTTAGTATAAAAAATTTTTACTGAAAGTTTTCAAAGGAATTGCAAAGTTGTACAATTTACAGCATTGCAATCTCTGACATTTCTTGAACTTTACATGCTAAATTTATAACTCTATAAAGTATTTTACGCGCAGAAAAAAGAGTGTACTTTAATTTAATATAAATATAATTTAAATCCGCTTTGCTATAAGTATAAAATTTTATTGTCAGGTTATCCCAAGTACTTAAAAAATTGTGACTAAAATTATGTGGGAGTCCCTGTATATATATATATATACAAATATATATTTAACTCTTTGCAGTTAACTACTGATATAGATGAATGTGATATTAAAAAAAAAAAAAAGAAGAATAATAAAAAATGAACACAAAAGAAAAATAGAAAAAAAGTGTAAGAAGACGGAATGAAATACGATTGTGTCCCGAGCTAACGCTTATGCGGTAAAATACATCACGTACTAATTCCCAAATAGCCACTCAGCCACTTATTCTTTCCTTTTTTTTTCTCTATCCCCTTTCCCTTCCTTCTCCTCCTCCTCCTTTCCTTTCCTTTTCTTTTCATTCCTTTTTTTTTACTTTCGTAAGCTGTCCGCTTATTCTTAAGCCGTGCTATACGAAGAGAGGTAGAAAATGTTATGCAAAGTGAGAGCCAGAGTTCCCGCGAGTTGCATGCGCTCACTCCTATCAAACTCCCTCCCCTAACCCCCACCCCTCGGCACCCTAAGCACCCCCGCATCGACGCGAATGAGCACTAATTTATACCATGACCCGTTTATACTAACCTAGCCCCCCTTTTCACTATCCCAATGTTAATCCTTACGAGGCTAAATGACCCTTAAGGGGTCTGCTCACCATCCAATGCCTTTCCAAGAGTTCTTCTCTCATCACAAACAGTTTTTCTATTGTTGTAGCATCTCTTGACCGATTTTTACAATGCACGAAAGCTCATTTAAAAGATAACAATATCGAACACGCAAAAGATTGTAGGTACATATACTTTTATCAACTATACCGATTTTTATTTACTTCATTGTGATATTTGATATGATTTTAGATAAATCTAGAAACGAATAGGATAAGTTTCTATTGTAGTTTTTTTTATAGTTTTGGTAGGTTTTTTTTTAATTAATTTAATTCGTTTTACTGCGCTTTGAAATGTGACGACATTTTTATCTTTTTTTTTTTTATTGGAAGATATAAATATATGAAACATTTTGTTATTGAATTTACGCGTATTGTGTCATTATGAATATAATAATTTATTTAAATTTATAAATGATATATATATAAGTGTCCAAAATAAAGATATAAAAATAATGAAAGAAAATATAGGAGAAGAAAAAAGAAGGAAAGGAATTTCCATAAGATAAATTTTACGATATTCGGAAATTATTCGCGTTACATTTTGTTAATATTACATAGATTCGTGCGTTCATGCACGCATATATACTATACTTCATTAACGGTACAACTATTTTCCATTATTTTCTCATGCGTGAATACTGAACATATTTGTCTTTAGTTCATTCTCGCAAGCTTTTTTAATCGTCCGATGCAGAATAAGCAGAAAATGTTCCTATTATTTTAATACTAATTTCTATTGACATGATATGCAGGTATCCTACCATATATATATATATATATATATATATATATATATATAAAGACCATTTTTCGTTGAACGAACATCAATATGTAAACTATCAAATAATTCTACACAACTAATACAAGAATCCGTTTTATTCTCTAGTTCGCCATTGTCTCTCTGTTACACGATCCGTAATATCGCTACAACTTGTGCAGACATATATTTATTTCGCAGTGTTGCCCGCTTCGTCCAGCGAATCCCTGCAAACACCTCGAACATCGATCCGTTCGGAAAATATTTGCCATTATCGTGTAAATTACGAACGTTACTAGTCGCGAAAGGTTTCCGAAACAAAGGGGTTCTCTGGGAAACATTGGCGAAACAAGAAAATAATAATACGATGAAAATTATTATCGGAGAATTCGTGGGTTGGTGGGAGCTGGGGGGAGGGGAGGAATGAAGGTGGAGGAGGGGGGGGGTGTAGCAACACAATTTTCCACGTGTCATATTGTAAAAAAGTAATGATAAAACTTTTACTTAGTGTTCGTTGATAAAGTGATTACATTTTATGTATGGTGTTTTTTTTTTTTCACATTTGTTTGTTCCAGTTAACGTCATCGATGGAGAATTTTTACATATCGTCAAGATAAGTCGACTTCATATGGGAAAATATCTGTGCATAGCATCGAACGGCGTGCCACCATCGGTCAGCAAAAGCGTCACGCTCAACGTTCACTGTAAGCTTTCTCTATTATACTAATAATTGATGTTTTTTATTTTTTTTTTACATTTTTTAAATATTTTTTAACGTCCATCGATCACTTAGTTACGTCGTTCGTTTAAAAAAGAAAAAAAAAAAAAAAATAAAATAAAATAAAATAAAATAAAAACAAACAAGAAGGATAAAACAAACTAAAAAGCAAAATGCCATTAAATCAAAGTGCAGTGTGCAGTGCTTAAATTGCACTCGCGTAACAGATTGATACGTGAAATGTTTATTTAAAAAATAACACATTTTTTTTGTATAATAAAATTTTCCTACATGTTTCCATTCGATTTGTCTCTTTATTTCATTTTTAATTGACAGATATTTTATTGATTACAATGTTAACTCATTCGTATTATTGAAATAACAATATCTATGTTCGTTTTATCGAATATTTCAACTATTCAAATCGACGTTAAATTTTATTAAACAAATGATATTTGTAATACGATTCGTATTATCGCAGTAAGATGTATAAAAAACTAATCAAACAATTTCATTTTATTATCGATATCATTTTACAAAACCACCACCAACCAGAGAGAAAGAAAGAGAAAAAGTGCAAGCTTTTTTTTTTTTGAATGCAAATATGAGTACGATAGGAAAAAAAAAAATACAATTGGTAGATATTAAAAAGCGGATGTTTAACGAGCCGATCATCTATCATAAAACGAAAATGTATAATGTTTAATCAATAAATAAAGTGAAAAATGGAGAAAATGTTCGTTAGATAGAAACGAGTGAAAGAACCCGATTTTTACGCTCTGGTTACAATTACTCGTATTTCTGTGTATTGACACTCACACGCAATCTTCTAGTACACGTATTACGTAAAATAATAATAATAATAATAATAATAATAATAATAATAATGTTTAGTGAAACATTTGCTCGTTAGTTTTTCTTTTTTTTTTTTTTTTTCCCCCATTAAGAGAATCTGAACCATAATTTGAGATATATAACGTTGTTAATATTATATGACTTATTAAAAAGTGCATCATTATACTTAAATATTACATTATTCTTTTAAATATATATTTTCAACGAATATATTAAACATTTATAGATATATCTACGTAGATAACGATGCTTTACATTTATTATAATAAATAAAATCAAGATAAAGAATGGATTCGAATTCAACAACGTAATTGTTCTTTCTCACACACATGCAGTTACGATAAATAATTATTATTAATTATAATTATATTCCAAATTTCGAAATCATAGAAATTTGTAATCTGACAATAATAATCAAATGAGGATGATGAAGATGATGAATTCTGAAAATAAATAAAATCATTTATCTGAGTTCATATGAACGATACGAGTAAAAGGATTAACCATATAATTGTAAAAAATTTTCGTGGAATGAAAGAGTGCTTGTTCATCGTCAGAGGCAGCTTGGTCCAGCAGGATGCATTAGGTTGGCTTTCAACGTCTCATTTAGCCACCGATTTACGAGCAACCACTTGACCCAGATATGCTCGATATACGTCCGTACGTCCCAATGCAGCCGTTTCGAGTCAACCCTCCCGTGTCACTCCTCCCCCTCCCATGCCTCATTTCACTTCATCTCATTTAACCACACCTCACCTCACCACACTTCGTCTGGTCCCTTCAATAAACCACCATACGCGTTCGCGCGCATTTAAACTTACGCACGATGATTTAAGTAACCCCCTCCCCCTTCCCCACCCTCTCCCTCGCCCCTTATCATCTTCCGATTTTATTTTTCCTCCGTCTATCTATCTCTTTTTTTTTTTTTTAGTTTTTTTTTTTTTTTTTTTTTTTTTTTTTTTTTTTTCTATTTTTTATCTTTATCGACCCGCGAACTTTACGAAGAAGCCGAACATAAAAACAAAATCGTGAGGGAGAAAAAAAAGGGTCTCGAACGGAAGGATTTTTACGACGTGGGGTGGGGCGAGGTGGGAGAGGGGGGAGGCACAAAAGTAATATAATTTTAGCGACTATTCCTTTCAGAAACGCAATCGACTGGCGTAAGTAAATTCGAACGACGTTTTTCAAGGACGTCCCATTGAAGTATGTAGATACATATAATATAATACGTACGCCGATGTAGATCTATCGATAGATCGATAGAGATCGATAGATCAAACGATTTATCTATCTGAAAGCGTACACACGTTGCTGCCAGAGTACGAAAGGAAATGCGAGTTTAACGTGTAGAAAACGGTGGAAAATTTTCTATTCGACGATAAGTTGGAAAAATATGCAAGGAAAATGGTGGTAAAAAGAGAGAAAAATCGAAGTAAGGAAAACACACGATAAAGAAAGAGGGAGAGAGAGAGAGAGAGAGAGATATAAAAAGGAAAGAAGGTTTAAAAAGAAAAAGAGAGAGAGAAGGTTATGAGAAGAATCTTTCGGCGCTTCGTCCAAGGGTGCTTTCCCTTAGCAGTAAACTGTGATTTACGTTGGTTCGTAAAAGGTGGCTGCCATGACACGATATTACCGATTCAGAGTGTTTATATCGATCGAAAGTGAAGCTGTGTTGCATTCCACTACTCATACTGGATACAACGGTAATAATCGGTAAACTTAAGGACAGTGTTTTGCTTTCAAAGATAGAGAGAGAGAGAGAGAGAGAGAGTGGAAGGGTCTTAACTTGAAAGTGTAAGGAAACATGAACACTATCCAGTTCGAATTTTAACAATGGCATAAAGGAAAAGGAGGATTTTAGTAGATCGTAAAGGGTTTTCTCTATAATACAATTGAAAATCTATCAAACGCGAACACGATAAATAATGATAATAACAAAGATTATTTAATTGATGTATATTATTACGAACTAAACGTAATAAATGATCGATACGAATTATTATACTTTATTTTCTACATTATTTGTTAATATCAATTATTTCGATACCGAAATCTATCGAATTTTGTTTAATGTTTGAAAATATATACGTATATAAAATTATATCATTTTAAAATTGAAAATATATATCAATGAACATTTAAATATTTAATGAAAAATTCTTTTATTTCGTATAAGAAAGAAATGATGTCATTTGATAATTTGACAATAAAACAATCGATATAATTTTATTGGATTGACAGAAATATTTCCTGTCGATTTATAAATATATATATATATATATATATATATATATTGTATATTGTATAATATAATTTGTATTGATTTTGTTAGAAAAATAATATATAAATTAAATAAATTTATTAGAATATATTGATTAATAAATAAATCGTCAAGAGAATTTTTTTAAGCACAATTCAATAATATTGAAAATATTATAGAAAATACTATGAACATTGCATATACAATTAATCATAATTCGGTATTGAAAGTGATAAAAATTTCTTCGTTATGTTCTTATACTACATTAGTCAGCAAAAAATCTTAAGATGAATTCGATAGATTCTTTTGTTTTTTTTTATCTTTCCAGTTCCACCGATGCTATCTATTCCAAATCAATTGGAAGCTGCCTATATCGGACAAGAGGTTACTCTCGAGTGTCACATCGAAGCTTTTCCAACAGCCATTAATTATTGGACTACGGAAAACGGCGATATGATTGTCTCCGGTAATTCTCGATTTTATTGCCCTTGCATTTATCCTTTTTACGATAACGCTACAAACGCTTCTGGACACTTTCATTTAATCATTTTATCGATAGATTTCAACGCGTTAAACTTAATATACAGAAAAAGAAAAAAGATGAACACGCATACATACATACATACATACATACATACATACACGTGTTTTTAACGATTTCCAAGTTTTCCAAAGGTCGACTATAAACCCTTTACTCGACCTACGTAATTAGAGTTAACGAGCGTGCAAATTATGGCGTTTCAGGTGACAAGTACATGACGGTGATTGCTGATAACGAGTACACGAAGCACATGGTATTGAAGATACGTAATGTTACCTCGAAGGACTTCGGTTCTTACAAATGTGTCGCACAAAATTCATTGGGTGCAACGGACGGTGTTATCAAGTTGGACGGTGAGTTTATAGTATATTTCGTTAGATTTGATTTTTCTGTTTTAAGAAAATCATTCAAAATAAAAAGAGAAAGAGAGAGAAAAGGAAAAAACGAAACAAAAAATGATACGATAGGATAAATTGAATAGAAAAACGAATGAAAAGAATGTGATAGGAGTGGAAAAATATCTAACCACCCTCTCCCCCACCCTCCACCCACCACCTCCCGGTATAACTTTCGTTTAATTTCGATACGTCGATATTCGTGAAAATCGTGAAACACGATAAAAGACAGATTGAGTTCCAGTCGAGTCTAAAGGACGTAATAGCTTAAACATTACCTCGTAATTACGGACAATTATTTGGCGACATTATGAAGACTCCTTCCTAATGGTAAAATAATTGATTTCCAATAGTCCTCTGCATAAGACATTGACGGTTCCGAGCATTGAATGTCGATCGATGAGCGAGGTCAAGCATCCTTTCCAACGTAGTTCAACGTAGTAATTGCCGTTGAAATTTACGAAGGATATATTTATCCGTACGGAACATAATCTTTTTTTTTTTCTTCTTTTTTTTTTCTTCAAGCTGTTTAAACGAATAAATTGGCTGGAATTAAAAGTTTCCAGCCAGGGGTTTAGGGGAGGGGAGAGTAGGAAGAAGTGGTGGTGTTGTTGCTGGAAAAATGTCCTCTTTCATAATAATATTATATTGAAAAACAATTTTTACAAGCATTATTTTCGTTATAATATACGAATCGTAGTATTATTAAAGTTTATTTGAAAAAATTTGTTTCTTATTATATTTTTTTTCTTTTTAGTTAATTGTAAAATAAATTGGAATTTGTTGTGATATTCAATCTCGAGAATATTTATATATATATATATATATCGATTTTTAAGCTCGACAAGGTTTTCTTTTTTTTTTTAAATTCTTTTCCTCTCTCTCTCTTTCTTCCAATATCATCTGTTTTTTTATTAAATTCACTTAACGAGCAAGCGTACGTCGAACAACGTGTACACGTACAAGCTCTGAGTTATAGTTAGAAACGATTTTAAAGCCGTACGACAAATGTTTGCATCAGCATTTTCACGAAAGGAAGAGAAGAACACCACCGGAGAAGAGTGTTTTCCAAAGTAGCACGATGCAAGAAGTCGCATACAGGATCCCTTTAATTCGTTTTTCAAACAATCGCGAAAGTATATATACATTTTACGATGACAAAAAGGAAAGAAAGAAAAGAAAAGAAAAAAAAGGTCATTAGGAATAAAAATGATACTTCTTTAATCATGATTTCTTGTATCAATTCGTACCATACAATCAAATAAATCGATAAAATTGTAAACTCATAAGAAGTATTTTGTTTTTCTAATTATTAAAATCAAATTCCAACCGATTGTTTATGTTTTATTTACAGAAATCCCAGCACCATCTACCACCTCAACAACGCAATCTCCGTATTACGTAACATCGTTAATGAAGAAAAACGGTAATTAGCGCTTTGTTTCAACGTCGAAACTTTATTTTCTACTTATGCCATTTTCACCGTCTTGAACGATTTCTCTCGAGTAACGTGAGAAGTATAAGCTCGAGATTAATTAAACGAGGGTAGTTGGGGGTGCCTCTGTATTCTCTCCTTTCTCACCCTCTTGCCATTGCTCCTTTTTTTTTTCTCCTTTCTTTCTTTCTTTCTTTTTCTCTCTCTCTCTCTCTCTCTCTCTCTCTTCTCCTTACTTCCTCAAGATGATCTTAATTACACTTGGATTCGCGCGCGATCAAAGTTCGTATTTTGTTTATCCTTTTCTCTTCGAATAAGAGCATTTCCTACTATACCTTATATGCAAAAGTTACCTTACTTCGTTACAATGATCTTAATTATTCGCGTAATTACGTGAAACTGTAGTAGCCTGCCAGAGGGTAGGTTGAGGAAGTCGAAGTTTCCCCTCCCCTCCCCTCCCCTCCCCACCAACTTCCTCCTCCTCCTTCCAACCCCTTTTCTTCTTCATTTCATTTCCCTTCCTTTTTCTTTCTTATCTTTTCTCTATTTAGAATAGTTCTATCCACTTTATTTTTGTTGAATATATTTTCGTATGGCAATGCAGCATATCGATAAAACGTCTCGTTGGTATATTGTTCTCTTAGGTAGAAACGGTAACAAGAAATTACGTCAACGTCCCAACGATTACGAGGTCGAGGAATGGAGAAATCCAGGTCAGTAAACGTCTATTTCTAACTACGCTTGATAAAATTCCCCAATGAATTCCCTATGACGATACATTTTTCTACTTTCGCTAATATAAGTCGATTCAGTATTTAGTATAATTAAAATTTGTACCCAATGATACATGTAATTAAAAGGAATAGGGATATTATTTTCATCTCGTAGGGTATTCGTTAAATTTGAATTCTTTTTTCATTCAACCAATCACCCACCCAATCACCCACCCCCCCCCACTCTCCTACTTTTGACATATTTTTATTTATTTAATTATTATTTCATTTCGTACAATTCTTATTTTAAACGAATTCAACCGAATCGTAATCCGCTCGTCAAATATATTTCGAAAGATAAAATGAAACGAGGACAACGCGATTTGACTGTTTTTTTTTTTTTCTTTTTTGCGTATTGTTTTATTAATAAAACAAATCGTTCGACCACGTTAAATGTGAGTGTCAATCATACGTGTCGATCAAATATTGACATTTCCACACAATGAAAGGAAAAGAAAAGAAAAGAAAGAACTTATTGAAAATTCCGCAAATCGATTGGATTAATTTTGGGTCAAGTTCGATTTCGTTAGAAAATAATATTACAAAGTTGGATATTATTTAGATACATTGATTTTAAAAAAAAAACGCGTTCAAATCCGTGTCGGAGGATGAAATAAGAATAGAGGATGATAAAGAAAAGAGGAAAAAAAAGAAAAAAATAAAAAGAAATGAAAGGAAAGTTTGTACGAGTCGATACAAAAGACGGGGGGTCAGCTGGTGACGATGAATGCTCGTAGGAACCATTGAAAGAATGAAAAAACTTGCGATTTCATCGAAAGATTTCTTCGATCCGTGGTACCGAAGTCACTTTTCTCTTCGCGACGTTTACTTTCAATTAATGAAAAACGAGCTTCGTTGACCTCCGGCCATCGTTCGCCTCGAGGGGCTAAAGCACGCTGGAACTTTCGGGGTTAGGGGTTAAATCGAACAAGTGTAGAAAGAAATAGTAAGATGAAAGGAGTAACAACGGAATTCTCGTTATTTTCTTTCACCTTACTCTACCTTTGCTTTGCTTTTCTTTTCTTTTCATTTCTTTTCTTTTCAAACCATGGTAGGTACCCAGGTTCTGTTTCCCTTTTTCTAACCTTTCACTAAATCGATTGACTTTCCTATTGCGTCAGAGAACTCACGCAATAAATCGAATGTCACGATTTTATTTCAAGAAAAACAAACTTTTATACTATTGTGTGTTCCCCCCCCCTCCCACTCCCCCACTGACATGTTAATCGAATTTTTTCAAATTAATAAATATTAAAAAAAAAAAAGATTGTTCGTCGTATTTTTTATTATTTATAATATAAATCATTATAGTTGATTTTTGAGTACGTACGATTGGTATTATATTTCAATTAATGATAATATTATAATTTGTTATAAATTTTTAAACGTGATTAATATTTAACACTTAAGGATCAAATGAAGAAATAATTTTGTATTTAAAATTGTGCTTTGAAATTTAATGGTTATGCTATTTGAAACAATATATATATCATGTGTTAATCAATGATCAAATACAGCAAATATTAGGGAATTTCCAATATTCGATGATCTAATATTCGAAACCTTCTACTACTCGCATGATGCACTATCGAATCATCTGCTATCAAAATAAATAACTGAAACATAGTAGATCATTTTTACGATATTATTATCCTTCTTATTGCTTTAGTATGAAATTGAAATAAATCATAAGGCTTTTAAAATTCGCATATAATAGCGTTGAAAACGTCTGTAAAAAATAAACTGTTAAAATAAAAAAAAGAAATATTTCATAAATTAAACAAAATAATGTGAAAATAAAAGCATAAATTTATAAATATATTTTATAACACAACAATTTCTCCATTCGAACATTTATATGTTATCCTTTTAATTTAAATATTGAAGTTTTAATTGTACAGGGTGTTTAAAAATATGTGAGAATAGAAAAAAAGAAAAATAATTCAAATAATAATATACCCAATACGAATTTGTTTCTAAATTATAATCGTTGTTTTATTATACCGTGTTCTAACATAATTTTCATAGAAATTATTCGAAGTGCACGAGTTCAGCTTTTTATCATAGATCTTCTCACTCATTCAAATACACCAGGTTTTGTTTGAATTTTCCAAAATCTTACACGAGATAAGAAGTTTACTTTATAAATATAATAGTTGAACCAACTATAATATATTCACTAAAGTTCTATAAATTATACAATAATTTTCATATTAAAACAACAATATCACATCGACTAAATTAATTATATGATCGGGTTATATAAAATATTTTTTTAGTATTTATAATATATAAAATATATAATTTATTATAGTAAAAAATCATTCGTAAAATTCCGACTGAAAAATTTGGGAAAACCCTGTCTACAGATAGACGTTCAACTTCCATTATTTTTCATAGAATAAATCGACAATAGAAAAAAATAAAAAAATATAAAAAAAAAAGTGGGATGTGTTCCTGTATTTGTTTGCAGATTACGAGAACGAATACGAGCCACCATCGATGCCACCAGGAGATTTACCATTGGATGCGTTAAATCTGGGCGCTGCACGTGAGCCCCGCATACTACTTCATCTTCTATTACCGAGCGTTTTGCCATTGCTCTTAACAGCCATCAGAAGATGATTCTCGCATCATGGGAACGGGGCTTCCAGTTGTAGTGTTTATTGGACGGAAAGTCCGGCGTGCGTCCGTTTCCGGTCGTACGACGGTTCTCGAATGCGACGATGTCGGCCACGCTTGAAATTATTTTCGTACTAAAGCTAGACTTAAATAATAATAAAAATAAAAATAAAAACACAAAACATAATAAAATAAAACAAATGAGAAAAGAATAAAAAAATTCACGGAGAAAAAGGACTATGGCGTGTATGAGTGTGCAAGTATGCGTGTGCAAGTGTGATGCGTGTGCAAACGAGAAGATAAGAAAATAAGGAAAGATGCAATCGTGTGTGAGAAAAATTAAATAATAAAACAACAAAAAATAATACAGAATAAAAGATATATTATAAATATATATATATATATATATAAATATATTAATATATCTATATATATTGATATATTGTGTATGAGTGTCACAGTAAAAGACGGGGCACGCACGTGCGAGCCCTTTTCTGTGTTAGAGAACGAAAGGGAAGACTGGAAAAATAATGTTGCTTGTAAGTACCGACACAAATAGTAATCTAGCCAATTTATTCATCCCCTTTTTCTTATACTATCGATACATGTATATATATATATACGTACACTTTTGTTTAATCACCATGAGACTAGTTAAATGATTTCTTATGTAATTGTAAATCTGATAATTCGAACTGTTTTTTCTGATTTTCTACTAAAAATTCGACGAGTTTTACGAATACGTTTGAAAAAACATTTGGATCGACGTTGTTGAAAATCATGAATCGTATGCATTCCAGAGTTACGATTCACGTTACTTTTTGTTTGCTTGTTTGTTTTTATTTCGTTATTGTTATAGTTGTTGCAATGCGATATAACAACCAATGGCTTACGTTTACGAGTTCGATTGGATGTAACATTTTCTTTCAACCTTTTCCATTTCCAGCATCCTACAACCCCACCCCCTCAACCTCTCTTCTTCTTCTTCTTCTTCTTATATTTTCGACGAAGTAACTTTCCGCGAGGTTTTCTCGAAAAGAAAATACTTGTTCGCGAAGGGATCGTTTAGTATACCGCGGCACGTTCCTTATGGCATTCCTAGGTCCTCAGGTTTTTTCGTCGAACGACGAGAAAAGTGGATACTGGTAGCTTTTATTGTCCGCGAAAGGAAATTGGATCGTCCATATAACCAGAAAGAAAGAAAATAAGAAAGAAGGAAGGAAGGAAGGAAGGAAGGGTTTTAGATCTATTCTTTTTAATAAGTTCTATCATTTTTTTTTTTTTTTTTTAAATCGATCGTTCTTTTCTAAAACGAAAATCTATATTATATATATATATATATATGAATAAATAGAAAAAGTAAGAACAAGATGAAGAGAGAGAGAGAGAGAGAGAGAACAAAAGAAATAGTATTATAAAAACCTACAGTGATAATTCCATGTCCTATTTAATTTTTAATTTTGCAACGGTTATATTATTTAAGAAAAAAAAAAAAAAGAAAATAAAACAAATGGCGAGAGAGATAAAGCTCGAAAATCGATTAATTTTGAAATTATCGTCGGAATAGAAAATCTGCGCGATGAGAGAAACAGAAAAATTGTATATCTAATAAATATACATATACGTATAATAAATAAAATGAAATAAAATAAAATAAGTAAATAAATTAACGAGAAATATAGGCATATACGTATAGATATATATGTAAATACATACGCGCGAATTATATAGTTAGATGAAGGTTCATAGAATGTGATGAGTGAGAGTGTGAAAGCACAATAGTAAAAAAGAAAGAGATAAAGAAAGAAATGAAATAAAAGAAAAAGGAAAGGAATGTTAAACGAAGTTTCGTAATAAAAAAAAATAATAGTTTTGCCATTGCTTAGTCTCGATTTTGGTATGACGGTGTAAACTAATATAAGATGTGTTGAAAAAAATTAACGAATGATAAGTTCGAAATACGCTAGAAAGAAAGAAAGAGAGAGGACTATGTTTAGATAAAAGTTATAGGCGGTTTAGTGTTCGACGTCCGAGAATGGAAATAGAAAAATTGTGAGAGAGAGAGAGAGAGAGAGAGAGAGAGAGAAATAGATAGACGAAGAGAGGCAGGTGTAAATTAATCGTGTAGCCTCGAATCATCGACATAACACAACAACGACGTGTGCATAGAGCTGAGAGCTGCTTCGTGGCTTCGTTTCGTACAAACAAACAAAACACACACAAATAATAAGCGCGATTATATCAAATAGAAGAAGGAAAAAAAAAAAAAAGGAGAAAAAAGAAAACCAAAAGTCAAGAAGAAACGAATAAAAATATTTCCAGTTGTCAAAAAATTTCCACACACACACACACACACGATTGGTTTTTTTAACAACTGTACCTTTAAAAAAACACAAGGTAATACAATTACAACAGCGATAATACATTTTTCTCCTAGAAAAGAAAAAAGCAAGAAGAAAAGAATAAAAAAAAGAAAAACAAACATTGTTTTAAAGTAACTCTACAAATTATTTCTATATTTGAAAGATATATAAATGAGAAAAGGAAAAAAAAAAGAAAAGAAAGAATGAAAACTTTCGGGGGGAATGATGGAAGTAACGAAATTCTCCTCTTTCGCGTTTCGATGGGTTTAGATTTTTCCTTCCTTAAATTGGGGAGGCTGGCAGGGCGTGGGGGCGGGGTGGGGGGGGGTGGTATAGAGGAAACGTATTTATGTACGTTCGTTTCATTTGGTGTCTCGAGAATATTGTGGATAGATATCGAGTAGCGTACTACCGAATACGACGATCGAATCGAATTCTTGTTACTCCTTTGCCTTGTATAAATATATCGGCAAGAACATGTACGGTAACGTTTGTACGTACATGTATATATATATATATCCCATACACCCCCATACGACATATATAGTTCGTCGTAAGTAAACGGTGAAACGCGAAAGAGGTTTAGCATATTTCGATTCCCCACCCCTTTCTCCTCCCCCCTGCGCCCCCCGTTTCTTTTTCTTTTATTTTTTTCTCTCTCTCAAGAAAATCGTGCCAGGCTTCCAGCTTCTTTCCTCAAACAGAAAAAAAAATAAATAGAAAGAAAGCAAGAAAGAAAGAAAAATATAAAAGCTTTTTCGCATTGCTTCAGCCTCTCCGACTTCTTCTTCTCTTACGTTGTACCTGACAGTTTGAATTGTTAGCCGTCGAATTCGTGAAACGCTAGAAAAAAAAAAAAAAAAACGCGTGTGAAAAATATGATATAATAAGGAGCAAAAAAAAAAAAAAATAAAAAAAAAAATGAATTAAAATAACCAAATGGAATGGAAAAAATTATGTGTTATATTAATAATAATAATAATAATAATAATATTAATAATTATAATGATGATGATGATGATGATATCCTTCATGCGCCTTTGCCGCGATCGATTATGTAAATAATGTAGATAGATTTGCATTGCGATCGAAAGTGATGAGAGAGACGATCATTTATGCGAAATAACGATGATAATGATGATGACTATGACGATAATGATGATGACTCGAGGCTGCTACTTGAGTATTAATAGTGAATCGTTTAGAAGAATGGTAAAATGAAACTACGGTTAAGGGATTAAGATAACACGAATCGAATGACGATAATGATTGTGCGTTGTGTTTAGTAGAAATGAAAAATTCAGAATCGAGATTTTAAACTGCCATCGATATATATATATATATATATATATATATATATATGTATATATATATATCGGATTAAACCTAACATTATTGATATGTTATTAAATGTATCTCATGACCGATGTTTTCACTATGAATGACGAAGATTTTTATTATTCTGCACGGAAGATCCTGAAAATGATGAAGAAGATGAAGAAGAAGATGATGATGTAGATGTAGATAGTGAAACTGTCAGTCTGAATAACTTAATAAATCGAATACGTCACTGCCATCGTACGATAATCATTTATTGCCAGGATCACAAATCGAAACTGTCGAATAATATTTTCTAATTGTTTATTTGAAAAATGTTAGATTGTAAATTTCGTTTACGTACAATTATTGACAATAAGTCGTAATCATTTTGTGAGAATCAGTATTTCGATGTATTACATTGTTTGTCCTGTCTTTATCGACAATTTAGCTTTTGATAATACATAAACAATAATTGGAAGTTAATTAACCCAGTCTACATTATTTTATTTCATAGTTTTCTTTTTATATATTTTTATGTTTCATTTTATTTAAATAATATAATTACATATATCTTTATATAATATATAATATATTATATATCGTTTAATTTAATTCATCAAATAGATATTTTTCTATTTACATTTAATTTGTTATTTTATTATCTATGGGATCGATACACTTTTATATTTTCTTAACCATTAAAAAAGAATTGAAGAAGAAGAAGAATAAGAAGAAGAAGACATCCAACTCTACTTTTCTCAGGTAATTAATTTCATTTCAATTTTTCAATTCGATCTCTACGATACAATATACGAATTGTTTAATATTCAGATATAAATATTTTTTATCTAATTGAACAGCACTCACAGACAGAGTTTATATTTATTACACGCAATCCATTCCCCATCGATAATAATTTAGGTAGGGCCTTTGAGACGAAAGTTTTATGCGCCACATCGTTTAGAAATTATTCCGCCTCAAAGGACTCACTGGTGTAGTACGTGAGAGTGAATTTAATCATGAGATATACTCTCTCTACCGCGAACTTGAGCTACCACAAGCTGATTGAAGTTTCAAACGTTCTTCGGAAATCGAAAGTTTCGTTTCGATACTGTGAGTATAGTTACACCCTTATATATATATATAATATATATCAATAAAATAAAAATAAAAATAAAAATGATAAAGAGAGGATGCAGAAGTCAGTGAATGTGTATTTGAATTTTTAAATATTAAATATTTATTCGCGATTATTTCGTTTCTCTTTTTTTTTTTTTGATTCTTTTTTAAATGTCCACTTGCAATGTGTCCCGTGATTTATTAAAAAATAATAAACGATAAAAATGATTTTGATCAAATACATATACACAAAGGCAAGGAGTAATAGTTACTACATTATAAATTTCGTCAAATATTAAATGCAGTAACATTCACACAAGAGCACGGTTTTTATAATCTTTTCGAGACATCGACAAATTTATTAAAAAATTATTTATTAAAAAATAATAAACGATAAAA